TTAAGCAGCCTCTTCCTGCGCAATCCGACCGGGTTAAAGCTATCACAAACGCTATTGGTGTGTTTATAGCTACAGACATGAGGCCATATTCAGTTGTGCAAACGAGGGCTTTAAAAACATGCTGAAAGTGCTTGAGCCACGTTACAATATCCCACCGCGCACATACTTCATTTTTGGTTCATTGTTACATTTTAAAGGAAGGAGATATGCCTATATATTAAACTTTAAGTTGTTTTTCATTAATAATTATGTTGAAAAGAAGATATTATGCCGTATGCACTACTTTTATATATTTTAATTCAACCATTTAAGTGTTTAATATACAGACAAAACTGCTTTTTGCTGATCTGAAAAATGATCCGATCCGTGACTCTTGATCCGAGGAACGATCCGATCCGTGAGTGTTGTGATCCGTTGCACCACTAGTGCTTGCCTTCATGAATATACAAATTGTATGTAGATAATCAGACCGCGCAAAATTCTACAAGGAGTAGATGCAAATGTAATCATTTGGCACCCGCAATGTGATTTATCAAACCTGCAACTGATTAGCACTCACTATTTTGCGTCAATATTTAGCACATTGAGAGGCACGTGCAAACTGACAAAGCGTTAAGCAAAAATGGCAGCAGTCATTGTGGCGAGAAGGAGGCATTGATACCATGTTAGTCGATGGAGAGAGAGAGTCTTCTGTGCACTTGTGAACATATTTGGTCTTTCAGAGCGCAAAATAGCAGAGACATATCGTTTATCCAGCAATGCAATTTTCAGCTGCTGGATGACCTCAGGGCCGATTTGGAGCCAGTCACAAAAAGGAGTCATGCCGTATCTCCTTTGGAAAAACTCCTTGCAACCCTGCATTTTTTTGCTTCTGGATCATTCCAGCGCACCACTGCTGTTAGTGCCGGCTTCTCCCAGAGTAGTTTTTCTGGTGTGCTGTCCCAAGTGTTGGATGCGATGTCATGCAAGATGGGCGAGTATATCCAGTTTTCATGCACTTTGGACACAGTAAATGACACAAAACACGGCTTTTATGCAGTTGCTGGCTTCCCCCAAACCATAGGAGCAATAGACAGCACTCATGTGCAGCTTGTTCCCCCCTCAGATAGGGAACATGTCTATCGGAATTGTAAACACACATTCTTTGAATGTACAAGTAGTGTGTAAGTCAAAAGGGGTCATTACAAACATTGTCACAAAATACCCAGGGTCAGCGTACGAGTCATTCATGTTTAGAAACGGCGTCCTTTTTTCAAAGTTGAAAGATGGTGAATACGGAGATGACTGGCTTTTGGGTAAGTTAATTATATTATTTATTCTTTGTAAAAATCATGGCCAATGTCAATGGCGAATATGTGATATTCTAACCGTAAGGTGATAGTGCATAACCCCTTCCTTTTGACTACTATGCGCAACCCGACCACTTGGGCAGAACATCTCTATAATATGGCTCACATCAGGACTAGAAACATCATGGAGCACACCTTTGATGTGCTAAAAAGTCGGTTCCATTGTCTGGATCGCAGAAAAGGTGGTGCGGATCATAGTCGTCTGCTGCATGTTGCACAACATCGCTAAATGTCACTGGTTGGAGCATGGTGCCGGGGATGTGGAGGAAAATGACAACTGGCCACATGCGCAACAAATAAATGCTGCAGGACTGCAGACACAGGCCAATCTTATTCAAAGCCATTTCTCATGAGCCATTTGAGGTATGCAATGGTTAAAAAATATCTATGTAGTTAAACTAAGACAAAAAAAAAAAAAAACACTATAAATGCACTTAAATATTGTGGCATGTTTTAAATCAAAACTGAACTGTAACAGCCACCATAGAACAGAGAACTATAGACAATTATTAAAGGAAAAAATGTAAACAGTGCTATTGACTGTGTCTCCGTTTTTTTCTTTTTCATCCATCGATTTTTAACCACTTATTCCCATTTGCGGGAAGGGGGGGGGCTAGAGCCTATCCCAGCATCTTTGGGCGAAGGCAGGGGACACCCTGGACAAGTTGCCAGTTCATCGCAGGGCTGACATATAGAGAAGAACAACCATTCACACTCACATTCACACCTACGGGCAATTCGAAAGTGGCCAATTAACCTAACCCCACTTCTGCATCTTTTGGGGATGTGGGAGGAAAACTAAGTAAACCCACGCAGACACAGCGAAAACATGCAAACTCCACACAGAAACATCCTGAAACCTTGTGTGTGCAACAATGGCCAGAGTGTCACAGCGGAGGGCGCGTGCCACATTGGTCATAGCTCTCATCTCCTGTGCAATGCCTTGTAATCCATCGCTTTGATTTTTTTTGTTGTTGCAGCAACTCCCAATCAATGTCATCAAAAAAATCTGGACGCCTTCGAGGATCTGCTGAGGTGTTTTCTTGTCTGTGCTGGTTTGAGGAGTGCAGCGGGAATTGTCGGACATCTGAAGATTCTCCAATTAAGGGAAAGGAGATAAATGTTACTTTTACGAACATGACGGACAACTTACAAAACCACTTTTGAAATAAATGAAATTACTTTTCCATATTAGGTAATATTCAACGAAATACACAAAGCATATTCATTATGAATTAATGAAATGTGTCCAATATAAGAAGTGAGTGTCTGTGTTTTTATGGGCCTACCTTGGTTTTCAGTGTTTGGGTCAAGGGAGTCGTATCCCTCGATTCCAGCAATCTGCTTATCACAGAATGTTACCTGAATCTGTTCTTCAATTGGAGAGAGAGGTATCACTTCTGCCAGTCCACCACCTGTTTTATTTGCCGATGTTTTATCAAAGAAAAGTTTTTCTTTTGTTCTCCTGTAGATACCCTGCCATCTTCTTTTTATTTTACTGGTTGATCTCCTAGTTTTGCTCACAGCATTTACCTTTACACAGATGGCCTCCCAAATTGTGTTTCGTCTGGTAGTGCTGAGGTTTCTCTGCTGGAGTTCAGCAGTGTGTTTATTCGCCTCCTCCACCAAAACCTCTGATTCGATGGATTCAAATTTTATTTTCCGTTTGTGGCCACTCTGCTCTCCTAATCTCTCCATGGTGTCAGCCGATAGCACATGCAAAATCACAATTTAATTAGGGTGGTCCCACCACTTCTGCACTTGTTATCAACTGTGCACGCAATGAAAGTAGATCACCCGCAACATGCCCACTAATAGCACACGCAGTTTTTTAGTTTGCACATGCAATTTAGTGCTTGCTATTTGCGATCTTAATAGATCAGGCCCATGGGGCACTATTTCGTGCCTGCCGGCAGCGCGGCGGAGGGTGGCGGACCCCGCGCAGTGGTATTTTCGTCTGCCGGAGCACTGTGCACAACCAGTTTGGTATTTTCGTAGACTGACAAGCTGGGCGTGGTGGCGCAGCAGGGGGAGGAGTCGATAGAATTAGCTGGCACAGTGACATTTTCGTGCCCACTGGTGGCGTAGAAAGTGTGCTGACAGCTCACCAATCTAAACCTGGTCAGCTTTCAGCGCAGGCTGAGCTAGTCTAGTGGTATTTTGGTAGACTGGCGGCATAGTGTGCATATGTCACTGATACCTCCCCGGCAGGTTTTCACAGTTTCAGGCACATTTCAGTGCAATAAATAATCAACAACAGCACATACATTTAGATCTATAGATATATTATGATCTCTATCTTGTTTGATGAGCGCGTTTGGCACACGTTTGGACATTCAACTTGACCGAATTAACACAGCTGAAACCGCATTAAATTAAATTATATATCTAGAAAATAGACACATATGATGAAGTGAACAAGATATTTAATTCATCTCCACCTTATTTCTATCTTCCTCTTCCTCTTATTTCTCACACAGCTTGACCTGGACATGTGTCTGTGTCCTCTCCCTGTCCTCCTGCTGCAGCAGCACCCAGGCTGAACAGATGATTTGTTTCACTGATCAAATGAGTTATTTACTTTAAGCCTACATACGAATATTATAATATTCAGTTTTGTGAGCTAAATCTATTTTATATGCCAACATCTATGAAAGAAAGAGCCAGGCCACAGAGTGCGTCATTTATGCAGAAATGGTTCCGATTTTAATGCCATTATTGGAATTTATGATGTGATCTCTGCAAACAACCCACCTTTGTCACGTGAGGTTTGAGTATATGCAACTTACTGTGAGTGTCTTTATTTGTGAAAACGGGCGTTTGTCTTACCGGTGGGTACAAACTTACACACACCAATTTCATCTGTGAGACAGTGTGGAGGACGCCCTCTGCAGCGCTTACAGCGACACTTGTTGAGGGGCTGCCTTCTGTCGCCATTGTGTGGCATTGCTGTCCTCAGACATCTCTTGATCTCTTTGACTACTTCATGAAAATTGTAATATGCCTCGCCGGTGGCGGATTTAAAGGTGAGGAGAGGAGCTTATGTGATTGCAAAAACAGGTCTCGGCTGTGTTAAACCCCTCGAGGCCTCTTCCCCTCCCTCTCTACAAAATACGCTGCTGGTAGGAGCTGAGTTAGGGAGGGGGGATTCTTGCGCCGGGCTGCGCCACTCACCAAAATACCAAAATGTGCTTGGGCACGCCTTGTTGGTGCGGTGGACCTGACTTACACTGCACCTATGCCACGCCACTGGCGAGGCACGAAAATAGAGCCCATAGTGTTTTATTTAAAAAAAAACCTGAATGTTTTATTTTGTGTCTGTGCCTGACTTCCTTTCCAGCATGGGCTAATCTGTGCTGTATTTATGCGGCATGCTGCAGTGTTCGGAAAAAATAGAACCCTGGCAATCGGCTTCGGGGTTTGCCAAACCACAGGGGGTCAGAAAAAAGCTTGTGGAATTTTACACATTAACATGACGGGAATGATCAGCAGCAGTCAGTGGCGATCAATGCCGACGGCCTTTTCACCGCCGTTCATGTGAGTGATGTATGTGTTATTTAGTGATGGGGAGCATTTTAGCTAAAGTTCACAGACTTTCAAACAAGTGTATGTGTGAGTTAGAGCAGTGAAGAAAACACTTCAGGATGTGTGTGACATGAGCGTTGGGATGTGGTGGTAATGTGGGGTCACTGTTTCTACAGGTGACTGGCTGCCTATCCGGTGTCCTCCCTTATAATAGCAGTGATATTTACACCAACAGCTGACCAGCCAACTGTCCGGCTCATCCATTGGGGAAGTGTTCCTCACAGTGAGGCCTTCTCTAGTCATATTTATGAATCACTGTAGTGCACCTATCACTGTAGTGCACCTACTGCTAGAATGCTGATTTTGCATGTGGAGTTGGCAGCAAAATGAATGCACACTATGCTGTCCAAGTGGGGCTAAACTGCTGTTTAATGTTGTCCACGGTCTGAAAGTTTTACCATGACAACTCCATGGTGGTTGGTCCCGAGCATGTGCACCTCTCGACACAAATAGGAGTAAAGTTCAGTTATTTTCTCACGCTCTCGGTAAGGATGACCAGTGTGCACTCAGAGGTTGCCTGCAGGCTGGTTTTGACCCAGGAGCTGTGAACTGAACCTCCCAGTTCTGAGGTTTTCTGCAGCCGATGATCTCTTAAAAAAGGGCAAACACAAAGAACCTAATTTCATTTCACGGCTGAGTGGTAAACAACTGTCCATCCCCCACTTCAGGCTGAGTCATGCTGTGTAAAAACTCCCTACAAAAGTCTTGCTGGAAGCTGCTCTGACTCCTGTTTTTCCCCGATGAAATGTATTTATGAGGCCCACAAATGCCAGTGAATCATTTCACAATTGACTCATCCGGGTCTTATCTGCAGTTTTTGGCTGCTGATCATGTTTCACGCTAATTTGTATCTGATTGGATGCACAGGGACAAAGCTATTTCTCTTCATTTCTCTTTTTGTGGAGCTGCCATTGGAGGTGAGAGGTGCTGGTTTTCAGGGGGGCTCACTCACTCACTTAGGCACACACTCACAAACACACTGGAACAGAGGAGTTTTTGAGAGTGTTTTCCTGTGGTCATATCTTTACTCACTGACATTACAGAGAGTGGTGACAGATAGTCATGCTGCTGCACACTGCTAGTTGATATTTTTATTCTTCATCGCAGCACAAAGGGCTTCAGTTAAAGCCACAGTTCACCCATAAGCTAATACCTGCAGCAGTACCCTGTAAAGTGTTCCCATCCAGCAATTATCGCCAACATTATTCTGCCATCACTGTTTTGCTTCTTGCTGCCCACACTGCTCTCTGCATTGATTTTCTCTCCATCCAGCTGAAGGCAATGAAAGCTCCTTCCTTATTGCCTGTAAAACTTTGTTCATTCATTGCATTAAAAGGTTGATATTTCTATTAACTCTCCGCCCTGAAGGATCGCGCATCGGTGTGTGGCCCGTGTGGAGTGGAGGTTTTAATTCTTTGGAGAAAGAGTCGATTACTAAAGTAGAGTTTCAGGAGTTAAAGATGCACCTCTATGTGTCAGTCCAGATGCATTCAGTGTTATGGGCAGTTGGAGCGCTGGTGTTGAAGGTAACTTTAGTGGCTAGAACAAGTTCAAGGAGCAACAAATAGATTACATAAAAAGAAGATGTCTCTGCAAAGCTGCAACATTTCTCTTATTCTTGTCCCTGAGTAGCTGCTTCCCTACACAGCTGGTTGCACATATTAGTCTTGTAGATATCTGGACTTTCTGCTTCAACCTGCCTGACCTCACCTGCTGCATCAGCTCTGTATGTCTTCCTTTAGGGTGCAAAGTCCAGAGCTAGTGCAATCCAGTAACCCTGGAGTTTAGGACTGTCCTCAGGCGCATCCATGTTGCAGAGATCACATTGTTGTATCAGCAGCACTGTTTTAGGTACTGACTTTGAGAACAAGCTTAGGTCTCATTTAAAACAGGATTTTGAAGGGTCTGTTGTGTTTGGGTTATGTCATTCAGTTTGCTCCTAATATCCTCTGATGAGTGTGACTGAAACAGTGGTCAGGCACTCTCAGAGTTTTTGAAAGATTCTGTCTTTATAAAAGCCCATCAACCAGAAGGTGTCACCCACATGGATGTGGAACTGATCCAATACCAAGACAACGTTAGAACAGTCCACCTTGTGTGTTGATTCTTTTATGTCTTGTATGTTTGTCCTCACTCACTTACTTGTTTCAGCATAAACCAATTAACCTGACCAAACCAATTGAGATAATCATGTGTTTGCTGACGGTCAGTACGGTTTGTGATCTGAGGTGGATATATGGACTCAGCAGGTAAATGATGGAGGTCAAAGCTGAGCTCTGTGGAGGTCCCATGCTGCTTCCAGTCTCATGTTAATGGAGCTTAATTTGCTTTTGCTCACGCTTATGGTCATTACTTTCTGGTCATTAGCCTGGAATGACTGCTCCCTGTACCTTTCTGCTTCATTGTCTTTAAGGCTCATAGCATTCAGCTTTTGCTAATATACAGTATCTGTGGTCTGCATGGGTCCTGCTAACACTGTTTGCACTGAGCCCAATTCAGTGACATTTATATCACACAAACCAGATATTAAAAAGCAGGACTCTGTGAAGGCAGTTAAGGATGATTCTCAGCAGACTTGAATTATTCTTTGATACAAGCCTGTGAAGCATGTCTGTATTCAAGCCTTTAAAGCATGCTCTGATCTTTTAAAACTATTTTGAAGCAGGTGTTTTATCTTCTGCAGTTTAGTTCTACACTCACAGCCACTTAGATGGACTTCTATATTACTGTGTCTAAGAAAAGGAACTATCACTGTAGCTTTAGTTTTCTTAGTGAGATAAAACAGGGTCAACTTGATCTTTTAAGAGTTTCTTCGTGTCTCCACTCAGCAGCTCTGTCACTATTAAAAGCAGTCAGCCTGCAGCCTGATGTACCTGGCTCAGGTACCAGAAATTTGAGTGTGTGTGCAGTTCTGTGTGTGGTTGTGAAGTCTCACCTCCAATAGCCAGAGGCGGGCTCTCACTGTACATGATGTAGCGCCTACAGTCACTCAGGTTAAACAATCTCACACTGTCAGGTGTCAGGTTCTGAGTAATTGTGTGCATGTTTTAAGCAAGGGTCTCAGTTGGGAGTTGTGGTTGTCAATCAATCCCTCCTCCTCCTCCTCCTCCTTCTTTTGTCACACATGCAGTGCCTCACACGGGATGTCTTCAGCAGGGAAGTGTTCAATGCCAGTTCTTAGTCTCATTGCTTGTCACGATTTGCAAAAGCTTTTGTACTTTGTTTACTGTGTTTAGTTATGTGGATGTGTTTGGATGAAAACAGTGTGGTGCAGCAGATGAACCAGCAGGGCATTGTCACAGGCAACCTCCAAACTAACCAAAATATGGAAGTACGGTTCAGATCAGAACAGATATAAAAATGCTCCACTTATTCCCATCATTCAAGGTATCCCAGTACTCAAAAGGATGTGTCATGAAAACCTGCATTTACAGAGAAGATTAGGTCAGAAAATTCAGGTTCAGAAGCAGGAAAATGCAGAGAAATGTGAACTTTTTTTTTTCTTTTTCTTTTTTTTTTTTTTTTTTTTTTTTGGTGGCAGATGGTCGGCAGCACTCAGCCAAGCAACAGCAGGTTCATCTTCCACCGCAGATCCACTTCAGCAAAGAGCTAAACAGCTGCTGCAGACTGGAAGCTGTCATATGACAAAAACACTTACTGGTTCTTGGGAGTTACCTCTGACAGAAATCTCTGATCGTCAGGTTTTATTTCTTATTACACAAGATTTCTCAAAGACTCCAAAATAGGATTTAATGCAATGTCATGTCCTGGATGCACACGGCATGCAGGGCTCATGTTCACCTGTCTATAGCAATCAGCCATCTGAAGATTTTAAAACACAGCTACAGTTAATGCCTCTGCAGGTCAGTGAGCTCGAGTTTTCTAAGAACCGAGTCATCTGTCAAAAAAGAAACACGGTCCGGGGAAGATTTTAGCCGACACGCTGTGTGACGTGGAGAAGAGGAGAGTGTCAGCTGTCTGTCTGTCTGCCTGCAGTCTGTCAAAAGTGAGTCGCTCTGAGTGTGTGTGTGTGTGTGTGTGTGTGTGTGTGTGTGTGTGTGTGTGTGTGTGTGTGTGTGTGTGTTTGTTAAGGGGGGCATGTAAATAAAGGATTAGATTGCACATTGAGTATGCATGTGGTGTCTGCCAGTGTGCAGGTAAGTGCTCATTCTTTGTGAGTGTGTGCCTTCACTGACCTCGTATCTCAATATCAAAGACTGCAGCCGTCTCACACTGAGCTGTCTGCAGGCATCAGCATTTTGCACACCTGACAGCGCCTTAGTGTGTGTGTGTGTGTGTGTGCGTGTGTGCCCATGTATCGATCTGAACATCTCTTCCCGTGGACTTTTCTCTTTCTGGAGTGAGTTATGACAGCTCACATTCCAACAAACACAAACAAAGAAAGTGGGTTTTCATCGACCTGTTTTTCTGCACCTTTTCAATTTGCTGCAATAAATAAAACCCGAGTAGAGACATTTAACGCTTGTAAAAGGTGGAGAAGTTGGAGTATTGATAAAAACAAAATGTGACAAATTGCATCCTGTGCAGGGGATAATGATGATGAAAAAACCTGCAACACATGGGCCTGCACTGGAAAAGTCCACAGCCAAAAACTGAGAAAATCTACTACTCTTTGCTTTCCATGGGCAGAAACCTCCAGTACTGGAAAATGGAACCTTTGCAAAATTTTCATCAATTTCTTGATTTTGACAAACTTGTCTACTAGTAAAGATAAGTTGCATTGAAACCCCAACCTCTCCTCAACCCTCTCCATCTACCAAGCTGCATATGGCACAATACTACAAACAGGAACCAGCAAGTTTTTAAGAGTTTCCCTGCGTGAGCCTGAGACTGGACTGTGATTTCTAGGCTGAAAAATCAACAGAAACATTGATTTTCTATTTGAAATGACCTCAGAGGTCATCCTGAATCTCAACTTAAATTTCATATTTCATTTCACTGGCTTGTGACAGCGCCGAAAAACCAAGAGCTGCTGCGGTTTTTTAGTGTGTGCATCTCTTCTGCAACAATTCCCAAGTTTTAGCTGTAAGATCAAAAACACAAGGTCAAACTAAAGTTAAAGATTATTTAAGCACATTTAAATCAACCACAGACAGCCTAAGTGCTGTACAAACTTTAAACCAGGTGAGCTGATATATACAGCATATTTCAGCGACAATAAGGCTTTTTAAAAGGTCTTTACTGTGGCCAGAAAGTCACAAAAAAGACATTAGCTAAAAATGTCAATGTGATGCTTAAATTGTTATTTACAACCTGTTTTACACAAATATGTTACAAAAATCCCCTTGAAAAGGTTGAATTATCGGTTAAAATTATTTAATTTCAAGGATGATGCTGAGGGCTGGAGTTCAAACTAAAGAATCAGTTAAAAGCTCAAATTAGACATGAGAGAGAGAAGGAGGAAAGCCTGCCCAAAAATGTGTGTAGGAAAGCCGAATCAGAAAAAAAAGTCAAACTCCACCTCCACAAAAAAACACAGAGACTCATTCTGCTCTGCTGCATGGTGACTACTACCCACTACAGCCACTTCCTGCAGAGCATTCATGTGTGAGTCTGTGTGTGTTTGTGTGTAGGAGAGTGCATCACAATAAGTGAGAGTGGGAGAATCAAAGGATCTGCCTACATGATGTGTGTGTGTGTGTGTGTGTGTGTGTGTGTGTGTGTGTGTGTGTGTGTGTGCGTGCGTGCGTGCGTGTGTGTACGTGTGTGTGTGCGCTTGAGCAGCTCTGCAGCAGACAGCTGGCTGACAGAGACAAGAGAACAACAAGATAAGAGAGAAGAGGAATCACCTCGCCTTCACACAATACACCTGACAACAACAACAGCTCTCCCTCTCTCTCTCACACACACACACACGCACACACACAGACTCAGGTTGTGTGTCACTTTGCTCTCTCTCTGGACTTGTTCGTCTCTTTGTGAGGACAGTTGTTGTTGCTGGAGTGATAACGAGGGTCCTCTGCGATTAAAAGCTTCTCTGTGTCACATTCAAGCGTCAATTACCGCTCTGTCTTCTGATTCATCATGAAACCTCGGCGTAATCACCTTGTGTGAGGAGGATTGTGCTGGATAAAATGGGTGGCCTCTGCTTTATGGTAAGGGCGCAGCTCTTTGAGAGATTAAAAAGTCACGTTTGAATTACAGAAAAGTCTTTGTGACAGCAAGACGACCTTAAGATAAATCAAGCTGAGCACTGGTTCCCCTGAAGGCAAGCCAGGGTTTTAATGGCACATCTTCACTGTGACATAAATGGTACTATGCACACTAAACAACTCCAGGGTTAAAAACTTGTTAGGTCATCTTAACCCAGAACGCTGGGTTATTCAAATTAACTCAAGTTTTGGGTTGAATCAATCACCCATTTTTAAGGGTCAAGTTAGTGAACCTTTAGGTTGATTCGACTCATAATCCTGGGTTGAATCCATACATGCATTGAATGTATGAGGAGCTTCAATTTTTTTTCAACCTGGTCCCTATTTTTCCTTTCTACTTCTATCTAAATGGGTGGTAGGATTTTCAAGTTGTGCAATTGCTAAATACAAAATGCAGAGGACACAGAATGTTTGTCAGTGGTTCCTGGTCCTGGTCCACAGATCACACTGATCCACAGGACTTGTCAGATCTACAACAGCTGTGGTTTACAGGGGCTAAGCCAAATGTGTTACATTTTCCCAATCAAGATCTAAGAGCTTCCACTTTTGCTAAACATCCGCTTCTAATATCTCCGACTTGTGGTGATGCGCAGCGCCTCATTCAACCCCGTGCCGAGGCTCAGGGAGGGCTACGTGAAGGGCTACACGGTGATGCAACGTAGGAGGAGGATAAACTGAGGGGTCAGGGAAACGTGCTCCGGATAGCAACATCTGATCCAGCTATTTGACTTATGGTGCCATTGTCAGACTGATGCACAATAAACAACATTTGTTGTTTAAATCTCATTATTGTTCTATCATTGGCTTGAGTCATATAGGCTAGAAAATCCATTTGAACTGGAAAATGATGCTTTTTGTGGAAAATATGGCTTTGTGGTTAAAATGCTGACCCAATTAATGGGTTACTCTCTGAAAAATAACCCATAAATATTAACAGAGTCAAAAAAAACCTACAGATTGGGTTTAAAAAAAATCCCTATTATCCAAGAAATGGGTATGGCTCTGAAAAATCAACCAGAAACATTACCCAACATGTATAGCCCAGGAATTGGGTTGAAAAAATAACCAGAGTGTTTTTATAGCATGACTGGTGTATAGGCAGGTCTTTGTTATGGGAGTTCCAGCTTTCCATCAATCTCCTTCAGTGTTTGAGAGGTCTTGGTGGTGTGGGTTGTACCTTGGCCCTGAAGTCTCGATCATTTCAAACCAGACTGCATGGTGGCACATCTTTGCAGATAAGTGATGTCTGCAGAGCTATTAACCTGACATTCAAGCCACCCTAACAGATGAAAGATTACAGTCAGAGCATGCAGAGCTGAAGCTGACCACACTGGAAACATGAGAAAACAGCCACCTCATCTAACCTCCTCACACAGATGTGACTGAACATTTCAACGTGAAGGAATCCACCCTCAAGATAAAGCTCTACGCTCTGAGCTCGAGGAGATGGATGTTAAGGCCATGTCCAAAAAAGAGCCTGTGCAATGGCCCTTTAAAGCTCCACAGTGTTTGGATCAATACTGAGCAAGAGGTATGACACCAGGGCAGCACCGCTCAGTCAGTAACCCGTCCATCTGTGCAGACTGTCACTGCTTTCTGAGACTGCCTCAGATTCTCAGGGGTTTCGGAGCATTTCCCTGCAAAGCTGCATGAGTGCTCAAAAAAGTGACCTGTCTCCTGCACCAGGACGCCAGTCCTGCAGATTTTTTTACAGTCAACATGAGGCATAATTACAAAACTGCTCCTCATTTTATCTGGAAGATTTTCGTGACCATGTGCAGTTGACACAGATTTAATTGTAACTTCACCTCATTGATGCAAACAACAAAACGTCATTAAATGTGTGACTACCTCACTCTGCTCACCTGCAGATAAATTGAGTGTAATTGGTGGCTGCATGTGTGGATTTTTGCTGCAGCTCCCAGGGATTAGCCCCAAAAAATAATTAGTGTTTGTAGTTCAGCTCATACCCAGACTACAAGACTGTGAAGCATGCAGATCTGAGTCACTGTCTAAATTTGGTGCTCCTGAGACACAACAACGGACATTTTTAGCATCTCGACTTACACAAACAGTGTTGAATTCACAGATTATTGTGAACTATATTTAAATATAGGAGCACTCCGTTTTCTCTGTTTTAATTGCATTTCTATGTATAAAGAGTTTAAATGATGTCTGCAGAGAAAGTGGAACTTGTTTTAGAAATGCACAGAAATAAACTTGTTGGTGGGTGCAGAAAAGGTCAGATGAGGGATGTAGTGCTAGAAAATTGATTCCTTTGTTCACATTACACGATAATGAGTATAATTTAATTTTCAGTCCGGTAGATCAGTAGCTCATGACGGTGAAGAGGGATGCATTTAATGAAATTGGGAAACTAATTGCAAAATCTAAAACTGGACTTTCTGGTATGTTGAGGGGATGAGTTTCACTCCTCAAACTGATTAAAGAGTTTCAGCAGATTAATTATTTCTCATGGGCTTCAGTTTCCCTCAGACTTCTCTCTGTCTTTGTTCAGTCCGTCTCCCTCTCCGTTTAGTGAGACAAGTGAAAAGTGAGATTGCTCTAGAGAGAGCTGCAAGAAGCACAGTTTGTTTATCTTCCTAAAGTAGTTTGGAGACTGTAGCACAGAGCATATCAACTCTGTTGAAATGGACTTTCAAAGTGCTGTTTGCATATAAGGCAGACTCTGCATCAAGGTGATGTTTTCTGCTCTAATTAATCCAATAATATTAGACAGTGACGTGGATGCAAGAAATTCTCTTCCTACAAAGGAAAAATAATCTGAAAAATTGAGCTTTCAATGGAGCTTTCAGGTGACAGAGATAAGCTTTAGGTGAAGCCTAAACTTTGAGAGCTCCTCCTGGTGACTGGCTGCAGTACTGAATATAGGTCAAAATAGAAATTTAAAATACAAGTGCAATGTCTTTCGCTAAAACATACTCTCTGTTGTAGCAGTTATTACAATCCTAAAATGTGACACCACGATTTGCATGACATGATTGACAGCTCCATCAACAAATGAGGCTCCTGCAGTGCTGTTTGCACCAGATAATGAGTGTCGAGTAAAACTGACACACTCTAACAGAAAGGTGTTGAATTTTCACAAGGACTTCTGTTGTGGACTAAACCCACTTGACCCCTCTTTAACATTTAGTATTTTCAGTTAAATGTGCATTATGATTTGCAGGGTGATTTGCAAATTTAGGGCTCAGTTAATAGTGTAATTATGGTTTGTGAGTCCATTAAATACATGTGGACGGAGAACTCAACTTTAAATGGCACTTGGTAACATGTCAAAAACAGTCCATGCTTTAAAGGCCCCATATTATGCAAAATTTAATATGCATCCCCAGCCTGTCTACAACCCAAGGAGGCGTGGACAGGTGCAGCACACAGAAACAGTGTGTTCTTGGTAGAGCTCACCAGAGAGAGTTTTCAGGCTGGCTGAAGTCCAGGAAAAAAAAAAAAAAAGTATTTTTTAGACCACAAACTTCAAACTGACTGTTCTGAGACCTCTCAGACCTATGTAAACCTGCTGAAAAGGAGTATAATATGGGACCTTTAATATTGGCTCCATGCTGAACACTGCCCTAATCTGGTGAGTGACAAGTTGGCCAGTGAGGATTGAGGTGAAGCAGTGTGGGCCAAAACTCCTATCAAAATTTGGCCGCTTGCTGCAGCTAAAACACCAAGCATGAGGCTTTAACAGTTGTCCTCAAACGTGAGTATGACTCCGCTCTTCTGTTTACAATTGAGGCTTTCAATCTTTGCTCTCCTCAAGAAACTTTAGTTCATCAAGAGTTGATGGGAAATCGTTGTTTTGATAATTAAAGCTTTATGCAAAATAAAAGACTAACTCCTCTTCCTTTAATTAATCTCAAGAGTGTTATCGTCACCACACGCCATCACTGCTGTCTCCGTTTGCTGAGTGGCTCAGACACTCGGCTAAACTGACACAGATATCAGAGCTGCATCATTGAAGTGCTTCAGAGTTAATCAATCCAGTGTCAGCCTGCAGCAATAATAAGAGTTCACAATGAAAAACAGAGAAACCCGAACAACACTGAGGGATATCTGATATGTGCTGCATACAAACACACACACACACACACACACACACACACACACACACACACACACACACACACACACACATGCATTAAATACATACATACACACATAGTTTGTAGTTTAAATTTGATTATTATATCTCCTGTCTGCAGGGGGAGGTCACCTTTGAGATAGCTATTTATCAGCAGGGAGAGCATAAACACACAAACATGTGTCTCTATTATACATTTTTACACACACACACACACACACACACACACACACACACACACACACACACACACACACACTGAAGCCCTTACAGTCACAAATAGAGGACTTGATAAAAAGAGACAGCAGAGGATTGTCCTGAAACTCTCACCCTGGTCAGGTCTGCCTCGTTGTGTGTGTGTGTGTGTGGTGTGTGGTGTGCGTGTGTGTGTGTGTGTGTGTGTGAAAGAGAGAGTAAGAGCTGCAGAAGAGAGAAAATTAGAGCTGTCAGTAGCCCAATAACAATGTTAAGGTGAGGAAGTGAGCTTATTACACACACATGCATGCAAACAGCCTCTTTGACAGGAAAGGTGACTCTTGTTGCTGAAAGAAAGAAAGAAAGAAAGAAAGAAAGAAAGAAAGAAAGAAAGAAAGAAAGAGAAAAGTGAGGCAGTGAGGCTTGAAGAAGAGAATAAGAAGCAGCAAAAGAAAAAGAAAGTGGTACGACAAGGATGTTAATATGGAGGAAGTGTAAAACACTGAAATCCTGTAAAAAAAGGGGAGTGAGTGTACATGACTCTGAGAGAGAGAGAGGGTCTTTCATATGTCAGTGGCAGGCCTGGAGACAGCAGGTAGGATTAAAGTGACAGACACCAAGCAGGAATAAAGCAGGAGAGATGCGAAGATGAAGAGGAGAGGGTACATTTGGAATAAGAGGTGAGGAGAGAGATATGATGAGGACAGAAGAGAGGAATAAAACAGTGATGAGGGGAGGACATTGATGAAGTTTCAACATTTCCTGCTTTAGGACACTGGTAGGAGTTCAGACAGGCAACACAATTTCTTTTGTTGTCTTAGAAGTCAGGATTCCATCTCTGGATTAAACAGCTGAAGAGATTATAAATTCAGGTGGTACTTTGAGCCAAAGGAGGCAGATTAAAAACTTTGGAGAATAAGACATAACTCAGACTTTTACTCCCTCATAGCAAAATTACAATAGAAAAGAAATTGTCACTATTGCTGCCAGTGGGTGGGAAACATTGTCCATGAGAGATGATGAGCCACCATCCTCCTGTCTCCTGTCTTTCACCACCTCTACAGGGTCCTGAGGGCAGTCCAGGACAGAGCTGGCCCTCCTCACCTGTTTGTAAAGTCCTTCGTCCTTTCAGTCTCTGGTCTGATGAAACGAAGATCAAACTCCTTTGAGGCTTCTTTTATTCGGTGGCAGTACCTCAGGAGGTAGAGCAGTCGTACAGTAATTGGAAGGTTGGTGGTTTGATTCCCCCCTATCCCTAGTCCGTCTGTCGTGTCCTTGGTTAAGAAACTTAACCCACCTTGCATTTATTGTGTGACCTCCACTGGTGTTTGATTGTGAGTGTTGTGTGGTGGTGGTCAGAGAGGCTGAAAGAGCTGATACAGGGATGAACTCGAGGTTCCTGAAAGATAATTTCTCTTTTTGACTATGAAAGCTGATGTGGATATTCATTATTGTAGCTAGATGGTGTTCAGGGATATGGAGATAGTGGTTTAAGACCTGCTTCATGAAGAGAACAAAGCAAACCATCAGAATGTGATCACATCTATGGTTGGGGAGGTTGATATTCTGTGTGAAGTTAAAAAACTGCATTAACCAGTGAGGAAGAGCGAGAAAGTTTGAAAGAAAATGGTTTAAAGTTTCGTGTTGCAGGAGTGGAGTAACTTTAATGCCCTCTTATGTACAGCAGCCACACACACTCCCTGTCAAGTCTATGAATAGAATAGAATAGACTTTATTTGTCATTGCACAAAGAAACGGAATTCTGTTGTGCCATCCTGAATGCAAAAAAGAACAAAAACAAGTACAACAATGCATACATATGACAGCATTCATCCATGTTAAAAGACATATTTAAAACATAAGACGTTAAACGAGGAGTAATTGCACTTAGTCCCATATTGCACTGTTAAATAAGAAGTAATTGCATGTAGTCTCATATTGCACTATTAAATGAGGAGTGCTGGCACATACTCCCATTTTGCACTGTTAATTAATCAAGTATATACTAATATACTATAATGTATAATACACTAATGTTAAGATGGTATTGTATGTATCATTACAGTGATGATAAATACAAGAGGATAGGAGAACAGACTGTATTTTATCCACCTCTCTTCTTTAACTACTGACACAAGCACTTAAAAGACATCAGCTCAGATAGCTCATCAGCAAACAACAAAACCAAACCTTAATAAAAGCTTTCACCCCATACCTTTAAAAGAGTTTATGTACTTCACTTCTAGCTCTGCTATCTTGTCCAGACCCTTGAAAGCATGTTCAATAGCATCCTGTTTTGGGTTTTCTTGCGTCTCAGAAAAGACATTGATAACCCTATAAAAGGAAAAAGATTCATGAGGTGTTGTGCATTAGTACTATAGGCTACCCTACTGCCTGCTGCCACCCATGTTTCAACATTATGGGTGCTGGATAATTAATTAAAATCAGTTATTTTTATTTAATTTTCTTCCATCATTTTTTAATACAGCTATATAAAGCAGATGCAGACAGTGTACACGCGCGCGCGCGCACACACACACACACATACTGGTTTCCATGGTTGATGAGGACCAATGTGCTGATCAATACCTCCGGGGACCACCCTTTCTAAAGACTGTAGAGGACTGAAAAAAATCAAGTAGACTAAACAGAGGCCTGCTAGCTCATACACAACTTCAAATATTGAAGTTGTCCCCACCCTGCGTGGGCAACATTCGTTTTTTAATGAATACAACTCCAGAAATTAACCAAACACACCAACAAAAAGTTTGGGGTCAAATAGATTTTTTTTTAAAATTACACACACACACACACACACGCATATATATGTGTATATATATATATATATATATATATATATATATATATATATATATATATACATATACACATCACTCAGCAGACTGACTGAGGAAAAGGAAAAGTGCGGAGGGTAAGGAGTGCTGATGAAGTCTTAAGTTATTTCATAAAAAAGAGAAAAAAGAACTGCAAGTTACTTGAATTATGCTTCCTCTAAATAATGAAGTGATTTTAGTTGGCACTAAAAAACTGAACAATGTAGAATGTAGAAGGAAGCAATGTGTACAGTATGATCCACAAGTGAATGTTAACAAAAACCAACCTACCGAAGAAATGGTTATCTCAAATTATTTAAGTTGCACTTTCCTTTTATAAACTGTAATGCAGTTGTACACATAGAACTTGACGTTCTGCCAGGTGCGGTTCTTCAGAGCTTCTGGTTCAGCACTTAAACACAGTCACTTTTGGTTGGTACAATGCAGAATGTGATGAATCTTTTCAGGTGCCTTTCTTCTGCCTGCACCTCTTTCTGTTGCCACAGCATTTTCTTCAGTTTTTTTCTGGGGAGCTTTGCCTTGAAGTGGCCAGAAAAACAAAATTGTGATCAAAAAAGGGGCAAAAAAAATAATTTGTGCATGCCATTTTTGGAGTTATTTGCACCGATGAATAGAAATACATTTTCATCTGTGTGAGTGCCTCACATCTGTTTTATGTAAACAGTAAGGACTGTTTTAATGTAAATAAAATAATTTTCATAAAGTTCAACCCTTGAAAATAACACTTAGTCCCTGAAGCTATGAACTTGATGGTTCTTATTAAAATAAATGTGCTGCTCATTTTGTACATGCACTCCTGCATAGTTGTTATGATTGCATTGGGGTTATCCTCTAAAATGAACTGAAAAAGCCCTGTATTTAATGGAACAGGCATGAAATCCAAGACAAGATTCTAAGCATTGTAATCCTGACATTTCCGTGCTACTAAAGCAAAACAAATCAGTTGCAACAGTGACAATTTTACACCAAAATGTTTAAATCAAAATTAATCTCCAAACAGCAAAGAAGAAAATCAGGTGCAAATTCAAGCAGCTTAATTACCTTTGGCGGAGGGCTTTATAGCCCCACCTGGAGGTACGTCATCACCACGGTGGTCTGCATCTTTTGGATGCTGACTGCCACATTTGATTCTCTTCTGTAAGAGGACACAACCCCTCTGCTGATGGTTCTGTGGACAAAAAACAAAATTGACATATATTTTGTCAATTATATTACAGTTGAGCACACATTTACTCAAACTCAGAGGCGATGGATAATCTCCAAAATTTGGATAGTCTCTCTCCATCTCTTTGTGAGCATGTTCAGAGTATTTGTCATTTTCCCCAAGTTTTCTATAAATAACAAGGTAATAGGTAACAAGGTAATAAATATTGTTATTCTATAAATAATATAATATATGGTTAATTTTTTTGGCCCATGATACAGTACAATTTTATGCCATGACTGCCCAAGTAAAGATTTCTTGATAACTTAATCTCCCTTTCAACTGTCAGTTGATTAAAAGGTTGAGATGAGGGACTAACAATTTTTACCAGAGGGTTAGAGTACAACTAGTGTATTAGAATAGCTGGTAACTGGTATGTCATCAGTAATTTATTGACAAGACAAACCCTCAACAGTCGAAGTTTCCCCCTGAATGCTCCTGTCATCCTCTTGTTCTTCTTCATCACTGTCAAGAACCTTTTCTGTGAAAGTAGTACAGAGTACATCTTACCAATGTGACCAAATTATCTGGTAAACAAAGTAAAACAAAAAAGGCAAATAAAATAACTTACCATCTGGCTCTATCCTCACTTCATTTCAGTTCTTGCCATAAAAATCAGATAATCTTCCTTGCTCAAGTGCCATTAGAACCTTGCTTATCTTTGCAAGCTGTAGGGTCTTTTCAGGGAGTCTGTAGAACTCTCGATGGATCCTGATGTCATGGCCAAGAAAGTTGGCCAGCTGGTCCATCTCTGTATCTGTCATGTTAAGCACTGTTAAAAGAGTTGCAGCATGCTTTTGAAGTCTGGTGGATGTCAGTGACCTTACACACTTTGCATTACAACCCTTTGCAAAGCCACGGAGGCAGTCTGAACCTCGGAAATGTGACATTGCTCCTGGTCTTGCGAACTTATAACAGTTTTCATTTAGAACCCCACAAGCCTCTCTCTGTTTGACGAGGAGTTCCAGTAAACACAGCATTTTTGGAGTCAGAAGTATTGGAACTGGCTGACCACGTTTGCCTCTAATGACAATCCTTGATAAGTGTCTGCACAGCTTTTTCTCCACTTCAGAGAGTGCCCAGTCCACATCCTCATGTGCATCAGTGGAGTCTCTTGATAAAAATGCTGATAAGGGTGTGCTTGACACCTCACCCTCCCTGCGGCGGTTAGAGAGATTAATCTGGGCCAGACAGTCCTTTGCCAGCTCCATCCAGGCTTTTGTAAAGGGACTTTCTGAGAGAGACATTTATGCCACTCATCTTGCATTTGATTGAGGTGAGCGTGCATCTTTTGGACATCTTGGGTAAAGGGCGTAAGAGTGGGGACATTCCACTTTGCTTCCCTGATGTTTCTCAAGGCTGTTACTGAGATCACTTCATTCCACTTCTCCTGATGCACCTCTTGAAACCCACTGGCATTCTTCACAAGCTCATTGTTGTTGGAGCGTTTAGTAGTTTGCTTGCCTTAATCTGCCTTTCCCAAGTTTGATAGCCAGTGATGGAATGAGGAACTTGTTTGTGTCGCTTTCATGCCCACATGTAAGCTTGACGGCTTTGACAATCTCCATGTACTTCTCTGGATTGATGAGGTCCCCCATTTTGTTTAATGTGGTGCCTCTCCTAGCACTCTTAATCAACCTTTCCAATTCTCGCATCTTCTCTCTCACATTCTGTTTGTTTTTGTCTGATTACCCACCTTTGTTTAGCAAGTGTTGCCCAATATCAAGAATGACTGTCATTTTTTATGATGTCAGTGATTGGGTCAGGTTTCATGCCACTGATTACTTCCCACAGTTCTTTTTTTATGTTGGAAGGCACAGGTTCTGCATATTTACACATGGACTGGACACGCTTCTTTCCTGGTTTGGGGTTGACTGATTCAGGTTTAAGTCTACATCTACGCATGTGTCGCCACAGGACCTTTCTGGTAAAAAGTGCTTGGCAATATGCAGAATGCATGAAGTCCTTTTCCTCTAGCTCTTCAACTGGTCGTTTGAATGCAACAAGTTTCCCCTTTCGTGACTCCATGACTGCAGCATTGTGTGCAAAGTTCCCTTGGTTGGGAATATAATCTAGTTGTAATTTTCTTTTCTTGGAGCCCTTTGGAAAGCTTAGAGCTCTGGCTACACTGGATATATTCATATCATATTAGCATAAGGCTTAGAGCAATACAAACAATAATGTCTTTTGTCATACACTCTTTTCCCAGCTCTCTTTTGGCATGCTTTAACAACTATCACGTCATTTATGTTCTGACTTGAGCAGGGCTCTTCTTCTGCTCCGGTGGCTTTGGATTGAAGAAGGAGAAGGACTGGCGTCATGTTGTCAACTTCAGGGGAACTCACTGGGTAAGGAACATCAATTTTGTCTGCAAGAGACCTTTGAGTCTTTGGGCTAAGGTGAAGGCTTGTATCGCTGTCACTGTCACTTTCACATGTGGTATCTGGAATGTAATCATCTCTACTCTCAGATACAGAATCGTACAGTTCACCAGAATCTTCAAGATTTATTGACTTTGATTGTCTTTTGTCATTTCAGTTTTTGGAAGGTATGTACAATTATGCTCAATTGCTTATTTATAGTGTTCACATTAGACAAAACCTGTGCCAGATCTTGGTAAGCATGAGGCCACTCAGTTATATTTGGAGACAACTTTTGCATTGACAAGAGACAGGTGTCTGACGTAAGTGAAAAACAACCAAAGATCCAGACTGACAACATTTTTAGATGTAATGAGACAGGTGTCTACTCTCATTTTTGGAACACATTCAGATTTATATTGCATTATTGTGATCTGACTTTAAAACATACATCAAATTTGCTGAAAACTAAGAAAAAAATGTTCTTCAGAGATATTTTCAATACTTAAATGTGGTATGTGTTTGCATTTGTCTTTCCTTTAGCTTTGAGAAAAAGTGAGAGGCATTAAATGCTCTCAGATTTAATGACTTTACTTTTGATACTAACAATAACACTTTTTGTTCGTCTCAACTTTGGCACAGAAATCTCAACATCACTCTGATAGGCGACAATTTGTCGACAAAAGGAACAATAAACATATTTCCAATATGAACGAATAAACACATAAAAAATATGAAAAAAATAATTGTCCTTTAAAATATATTGAATTGTTCCTTCACTACCAAATTTTATCAGTGCAGTGTATATATTTTACACAGTTTTCTTTTTTTTTGATGCTGTGAAAAGCATAAAAAAATCCTAGTACATTACAGATAAGGTGCCTTATATTTATATCAAATAATACAGACAGGATTTTTCCATTGAATAAAACAGGCTTTGTGGGGACACTTTCTCTCTTTTTAGCTGTATAAGACAACAAACAGATCAGAAACAGAGTTTTTAAATGAGAAGTAAAGTGATAATTATAACCTACCTGATTAGAGGTACTGTCTTGACCCAAGGTGTCTTCCTTGGTAGCCTCTGGCTGGATGGAAGGATTTGGGATGTCCATTCCCAGGGTGTTCAGTGGGTTCAAGGTCTCCTGTGGATACACATTGTAAAACTATAAATCATGATAGTGAATGCTAATTAGACTTAATAAAAAATACACTGAATTAAACATTTGAAGAGAACTTTTCACTTGGTGTCGGGATGGGTGCAATGTACCTTTTGGCAAGTATGTTTTTTGTGCTTATCCTTTTGGATATTGGAGTGAAAGGACTTGCTTGAACTTTTTAAAGTTTCCTCAGCCACCTTTGAACATATTAATATTTTTGTGTATCTTGGATTACTTTAACATCTTTTTAGATAATAGATTTAAATCAAAGATTTAAATTTGTTTTTTTTTTAATGAGCCAATCTAAGTGCAACATACTTGTGTTCGCCATGGGCAGTCAGCATCTCCATAATCATAGGTTATTTCCTCTCCCTCTTTAATGTCGTTCAGCTCAAACAAACAAAGGTGTGGGTTTCTGTTCACCTCAATTTTTTTCATCTTACAGTTTGGAGATCTGTGTTCATCATTGACCAGCCATCCATATGATTCATCTTCTCTTGATGCATCAATGCTTGAAAAATCAAAACACATGACAATGAAAATTAAATATCACACAATATCTTCAGAAAGTCAAAAACCTTTGATATTGTAGTATAATCTTACCACCATGTTTTCCCGCTCCACCAAAATGGAAACATAAATGCAGCACATGATGGGTGGTAAAGTTTTCTTCTTCTGCTGTACTTTGCATCAGTTGTCAAATCTCCCCTGTATTCAACAACAAAATCTCCTTTGCAAAAAAGAGTCTTTGCAAATACACCACATGAAAATGATAGCAGAAACATTTAACAGAAAAGTAAGACCTCAGCTCTTTGTATTAATTTAGACCTCAAGAGATAGTAAGCCTATATGAAATGAGCTGCAATCTCTAGCTTAACTCATTTATCCTGACATCTTACATCAAATACTTATAAGACGGCAATTGTATACATAAGGAGTTATTCACAAATAAGTCCTGTCATTGTACCTTTTATTGCATTGCTAAACTTCACCTCTAATTTGGATATCTTGTCAGACCTTGATGAAACATGATGACTGGCATCTTTAAGAGGGCTTATCCGTGGTCGCATTTCAAACCAAGGGATATATTTGAAACCTGCAATAACTTCACTCACATTATGAGGGCTTTAATGGTATTAGATCTATGTATGCAGAGTTGCTTTAAATTAAATTTTAACACCACAATTCAAACCAATGTTAAGCTGTAAAAAACATTACATGTAGTTTTAGTTTGTTGCTGGGTTAGTGTAGACTGTTAGTGAATTTTAGTCAGAATTTGTTCTATTCAGAAATTTGCTGAATGATACTTAACCTGACTTCATCTCACAAAATTGTGAATAATGAAGCTGTATCTTACTTCTAAAAGGTCTCTGGCAATTATGTTAATGATCTGGACCTGAATTTTGTCAATCTGACACTAGACAGGTGAAAACTTTTGATCCAGCTAAAGAGGTTAGCTAAATAACATCTTAGCCAGCTAACTAAATATGATATATGACTATGACTACCAAATACACAATATATATATAAATAAATTATATTGAATATTACAGTTTGAAGAAAGATTTAATGCAACTGTGATACTTTTCTCAGGTTTTTGTGCCTTAGCATACAACATTTATCTGAAAGCTAGTTTTGTAGAGTGAAGCTTGATCATATGAGGAGTAACAATTAGCTTGTCTTGATGTATTACACTTGGAGCCTACCTATCACTAATTTTGATCTGAATTTGTCTCCTTTTTATTAAATTGAAACTGGTTAAAAAGATGTTTTAAAATACTCAAGGCATTTAAGCTGTATTATCCTAGTATATAAGCAAGACCTTCAGGTCTCACTTACAAGCTATCATGCAGTAGTAAAAAAGTTTGTCAAACCAATGTGCTTACCTCTGGCTTCACTTTCACTCCTTTGTAAAAAAAATCCTGTGACTCTGAGCATCTTTATCAAATAATCCTCTGTATGCACCGAGCCCCTTTTTCTCTGAATACGACCAGTACACTAAAAATGACGTTGGCAATAAAATTGTTCCTAACGGGGACTAGGAAGTAGGCGGTTTCTACCCATATTTGGAATATGTGCGTGTGTGGAGCAACAAGTGCAATACCAGCCAAAAACTAAAGAGGGGGCTACTGTGCACGCCACACACACACACACACACACACACACACACACACACACACACACACACACACACACACACACACACACACACACACACACACACTAGTGGATAAACATGCTTTTTGGGCCAATTCTAAATATCACATGGGCAACATCAGAGAATCTTCTGCAATCATTTGAAAGGGTTTCCCACATGGGGACCTCAATTTTGGTCCCCATACTGCAAGAGGTCCCCATGAGGTGACTGTGTAAACATGCACACACACACACACACACACACACACACACACACACACACACACACACACACGATTCAGAATATCACTTCAGATTTGAGAAAACTCAAAGTAAAAAAAATATATATTTCACTGCTATACTTGGGTGGACTGGTGGCAGTTGCATGGCAGATTTGACAACACGCACATTTTTCCTCATGTTTTTTAAGTGTTCATAACTGTAGATCAGGGCCCTGTTGACTTGTGGTCTCTCCAGAAAAGCTGTACTTTCTTGTAGCACTATGGTATTGAAGTTACATTGTTACATCTAATGTAACTAAAATACATTAACTTCAGTGTCACACTTTTACAGTTAGAGTTACTTTTATTAGGGCCCGAGCCAGCTGCAGAGCAGCCGGGCGTAGGCCCTATTATTCCCCAAGTGGTTTTTCTTTGTTTCTTTCTTTCTTTCTTTCTTTCTTAGGGCCCGAGCGTAGCTGCTAAGCAGCTGCGAGAGCCCTCTTGTTCCTGTAGTTTCCTTCTTTTGTTATTATTAGGGCCCGAGCCAGCTGCAGAGCAGCCGGGCGTAGGCCCTATTATTCCCCAAGTGGTTTTTCTTTGTTTCTTTCTTTCTTTTTTCTTTTTCCTCCCCTTTGAACTGGAAAATGGCCCACTTCCCACTGGCGAAAACTCATGAAATTTGGCAGGATGACCGGGCCTGGTGAAAAATTTGATATTCTGAAGTCGCCCAAACAATAAAATGCAAAATGGCTCCATAGCGCCCCCTAAGGTGAAAATTCACACTATTGACTGTCACGCCTGTACGCTTTGTCATATTGACACAAAAATTGACACACATATGTATCTCAATAAGATCTACAAAAAAGTCAGTGCGGCCGTATCTGTCAAAATTACGGTTAAAGGGTTATTTCGCATTTTTTGCCGATCCGCACACATTGGAATTTCGCTAACTCCTCCGAAGGCTTTCGTTCCACCGGCACCACATTTGCTCAGGCCAATCTACACCCCGTGGCCACTAAAAGTTATCAAAATCATGACGCTGCACCCCAAGGTTTAGGTTCTAGGGGGCGCCAAAGATAACACTAAAATCCACATATTTAAAAGTCTTATAACTTTTTATTTTTGTCCTCACTGGCCTCCAAGTTTTCTAGGATGATGCAATGTCCAGCCATCAACACATTTGTGAAGGAATTTTTACTCCCCAAAAGAGCGCCCCCCATGGCAGGAGAAAAAAGTCCATTTTTTCATGTCCCCTAAGGTGAAAATACACATTGTTGAGTGTCACGCCTATACGCTTTGTCAAAATGACACAAAAATTGACACACACATGTAACTCAATAAGATCTACGAAAAAGTCAATGCGCCCGTATCTGTCAAATGTACGGTTAAAGGGTTATTCCGCATTTTTTGCCGATCCGCACACATTGGAATTTCGCTAACTCCTCCTAAGGCTTTCGTTCCACCGGCACCACATTTGCTCAGGCCAATCTACACCCCATGGCCATTAAAAGTTATCAAAATCATGACGCTGCACCCCACGGTTTAGGTTCTAGGGGGCGCCAAAGATAACCCTAAAATCCACATATTTAAAAGTCTTATAACTTTTTATTTTTGTCCTCACTGGCCTCCAAGTTTTCTAGGATGATGCAATGTCCAGCCATCAACACATTTGTGAAGGAATTTTTACTCCCCAAAAGAGCGCCCCCCCATGGCAGGAGAAAAAAGTCCATTTTTTCTTGTCCTCTAAGGTGAAAATACATATTGTTGAGATTCACGCCTATACGCTTTGTCATATTGACACAAAATTTGACAATCACGTGCCTTGCCTGGTATCATTTTTTTCAGCACAACCTCACCTGTGCGAATTTACAGTTATTTTATCATGTTGACATACTGAATTTACACAATGGACCCAAATTCACACACAAAACATAAAATCCGAGTGGAAAAAAGTAACATTTTTACTGTGAAAACCACAAATATGTGTGATGAACTGTTTTTAAAACTTAAACTTCAAATAAAAATTGTAAACTTCAAAACATATGCAAATTTTTAACAAAGAACATAGTGATTTACCTCTATTTACATCAAAATGCAGGCAATGGCCCAGGCGTTCTTTGTAAAATTATTTACAAAACACTGTATAGTCTCACAAATGTCACTTTTTATTTATGCCACTACAAAAAAACATGATGTAAATGATGCATGATGTAAAACATGATGTAAAAAACTTGTATAGATCCTCCTCTATGTCAGTCCATGTGTAATTTTTCCATAATTCTTTGTTTTTTGCAGCATTTTTGTTAGTGTAACTGCAGATTGTGCTGACAGTGTCTATGGCACAAAAAAAAAAAAAAAATTAAAATGCCTCAACATGAACCCCTGGTGGTCTCTGAGGTTGAAACCTGCTAACTGCTGCAGCTCTGTCAGCTTCAGTCTCCCATGCAGAGCTCTGAGCGCATGTGTGGCTCTGCACCCTTAGCAGCGTTGCTAACTCCTCAGTAAGGAAAGCCTGCTTCATGTCAGAGTCTCTAAACTCCAGAAGAAGTCGATAAAAGTCACTTTCTTTCTAAAAAAAAGTCGTTAGGGGGTCTGAAAAGTCATTGAATCTAACAACAAAGTCGCTAGGTTTGCAACTACGTGTCCCAGACTGCATCCCTGCTGAGAGTCCCTCCCTCCCTTCTCATATTGCAGGAAGAACGTAAGCGCCCGCCCCCTGTCAATCAGTCACCATATAATTTTGGATTGGTTGTTGTGGTGAAGTTTTCCACCAATAGGAGAGATGTTGTGGTGTGTTTTTTTTTTCCTTTGGCAAGCCTTTTCCGCCTGTAAGACCTGTCGCTAATGTCTGCATGCTATGTTTTCCTGTCTCATACAGCGCGATCGAGCGCCGAACGTGATCAAAATAAGCAGAAAAAAAGTATCGCGGACATAATTTATCATAACTCTGGTTTTATTTGGCCTATCAACACAATTTAAAAACTGGTATATAGGTTGAGGTCCTCACTTT